GTTCGATTTTCGGCGCACGGGGGGGGTTTTTTGGGGTGAAAACACGCGGGATCGGGTTTCTCCTCCACCCCCCCGGGGTGAACGGGCCTCGGGCAGGAACCCGCCGAGCCCGGCCCGCGGGCGGGACAGGTCCTGGGGCAGCGGGACGGGGCAGCGGGGGGGTCGGTGCTGGAAACGGAGATTTTGGGGCAGAAATGGAGATTTTGGTACCAAAAATAGATATTTCGGTGCCAGAAACGGAGATTTTGGGGTAAGAAATGGAGATTTTGGTGCTAGAAATGGAGATTTTGGGGTAAGAAATGGACATTTCAGTGTCAAAAATGCATATTTTGGTGCCAAAAATGGACATTTCGGTGCCAGAAATGGTATTTCAGTGTCAGAAATGGACATTTTGGTGTCAGAAATTTATATTTTGGTTCCAGAAATGGGCATTTCGATGTAAAAAATGCATATTTTGGTGCCAAAAATGGACATTTCGCTGACAGAAATGCAAATTTGGTGCTAGAAATGGACATTTCACTGCCAGAAATTATATTTCAGTGCCAGAAATGGACATTTTGGTGCCAGAAACGGACATTTTTGTGTCAGAAATTGAGATTTTGTTGCCAAAAATGGACATTTCAGTGCCAAAAAAGGATATTTTGGTGCCAGAAATGGACATTTTGCTGCCAGAAATGATATTTCAGTGCCAGAAATGCATATTTTGGTGCCAGAAATGGACATTTTGGTGCCAGAAATAACATTTCGGTGTCAGAAATGGACATTTTTGTGTCAGAAATTGAGATTTTGTTGCCAAAAATGGACATTTTGCTGTCAGAAATGGATATTTTGGTGCTAGAAATGGACATTTCAGTGCCAGAAATGGACATTTCGGTGCCAGAAATGATATTTCAGTGCCAGAAACGGACATTCTTGTGTCAGAAATGGAGACTTTGTTGCCAAAAATGGACATTTCAGTGCCAAAAATGAATATTTTAGTGCTAGAAATGGGTATTTCAGTGTCAAAAATGCATATTTTGGTGCCAGAAATGGACATTTCCATGTCAAAAATGGACATTTTGGTGCCAGAAATGGACATTTCAGTGTCAAAAAATGCGTATTTCGGTGCCAGAAATGGACATTTCGGTGTCAGAAACAGACATCTTGGTGCCAGAAATGATATTTCGGTGTCAGAAATGGATAATTTGGTGCTAGAAATGGACATTTCAATGCCAGAAACAAATATTTTGGTGCTGGAGAAAGAGCTTTTGGTGCTGGAGAAGGCAACAACTTTAACACTGGTCACCTAC